GTATGAATCATAAATTTCACTCTAAAGTCTTGTAGGAGGTCACTACTCACTACATATTCACGTTCTTGGAAAAAAAAAAGGTTTTGACTTCACCTTTTCCTTTGGTGTCTTGCTTCTTTCTAACATAAATTTGTGTTATATGAAGCAGACACCGAAGGAAAATGTAATGTCTAATCTTTCCAAATATCAAAGATAATCAAGCGCAACGACAACCTATGTTCACACCTTGGTGCCATGTTACGTACGTATAAACATCAAGTTTTTTTCTTTCTTTTGATTTTGTTGGCAATGAATCTGGTTTGTCTTTTCTTTTCATCTCTTATTTTGTTCGTTGATCCATATCATGATTTTAATCATGTCTTCATTAAGTTCCTATTCGTTGCATAATAATTTTGATTTATGGACAAATCTTTTATGTTTTTAAGTCAAGAAAATTGTTGATCATTCTAATTTGATTTTAAATAAGTCAATCTCCATTTATTAATGGTAAGTATTTACAATCAAAGAAAAAGAATTTCAAGATTTATTTTCTTTTTCTTGTACGTAGTATCTCTCATGTTATTCTTTTGTATTTTTTATTTTCAAATTTTATTGTTCAAATTCAGACCATTCTAATTAGACATTAAATTACAATTTTAAAATACTTATTTTTGTATATTTTTACGAAATTTCAAATTATCAATTACTTTCAAATTTTGCGTTTAAGCTTTTCTTTTTTATATCTCAAATCTTATAACTTTTTTATATTAACAGTTTATTTTTTATTTAAATCTTCTTTACATATTATTTAAATTCATTTTCTTATTTTCATAAAGAACACTTTTAAAATGTAAGTATTTACAGCCAAAGCAAAAAGAATTTCAAGATTTATTTTCTTTTTCTTGTACGTGATATCTCACATATTATTCTTTTATATTTTTATTATTTTCAAACATTACTATTGAAATTGAAACAATTCTAATTCGACTTTAAATTAAAATTTTAAAATATTTATTTTTGTATTTTTTAAAAAATAAATTTACAATTACTTTCAAATTTTATGTTTAAACATTTTTTTTTATCTCAAATCCTAATTTTCTCAAATTACTTGTAATTTTTTATATTGATTTTTTTATTTAAATATTCTTTACTTATTATTTTAAATTATTTTTTATTTTCATAAGGAACACTGTTAAATAGTTAGAATATATTTAGTATGAACTACACAGAAAGGACGTGTTCGCATTTGATTGGACAAACTTAAATAAATAAATAATATAATTAAAGTGAATTTGACATAAATTACACGGTATATTATCGTATAATAAAAGTGAATTTGAGAATTCGAATCGGTGACTTATTTGATTGTTGTTAAAATAATAGTAGGATTTGTGATATTTCGTATTTCCATGTAGTTTGTTTAAAAATAATAAAAAATAAAAAATAATAATAATAAAAGTTAAAAAATATAAATCGAGATAATATATAATTGAAAAAAGTAAAATAATTTTAAATAAAATTAGAGATCAAATGAAATTACAAAATAAGCAAGTAGTTAGTATTGATAGAAATCATACATATTTTTTACTTCTATTTTACTATGATAGTAGAAAGAAAGAAAAAAAAAATATATATATATATATATATATAATAAAAAGATATAAATATTTTTAAAATGTAAAAATCGAAGGGATGTATCCCTTTTATATATAGTATAAATTAGTAGATTACACCTTATATCTGTATGTAATAGTTACATATGAAGTTAGATTCTTTTTTATATAAATAATTTTTTTCATTTTATTCTCTGCAAATATATTGTTAAAAAGAAGTTGTTGTATAATTGAGTGGGTAAAAAAGTTAAAGAAAAATAAAGACAAAAGTGATTATTAAGAAGAGTATTCTCTTTATTATTATTACATTTTTGATAATCATGATATTGATATGAAATATCTATCATCATAAGTAGCGGTTAATCTTTGTTAGGGCTCATAAACGCACACAAGATAAAGATTTTCCTTTTAACATTAGTTTACTTCATAGCTAAGATTAAGATTCAAATTCTAAATATTTTAGTTAATTATCATTAATAATAGTTATAGAAATATAGAAGTATAAATATTAAAAAAATATAATAAATAAATAAATAAATAAAATATATTAGGTTATGTTAATTTAACACCATTAACCTTTGGCTCAAAAGAAGGCTTTGAAGCCCAATGTCTTATGAGATAAAACTGAACAAGAATGGGTTGAATAAGGCTCAACCCAACTTGTATTGGGTCTATACAACAAAAGAATATATTGTTATAGGTTGTTATTGTTCTTGATCATAAAATAAGTATAAGAGTGATGGGTTGGGTTAAAGTATGAATCATAAATTTCACTCTAAAGTCTTGTAGGAGGTCACTACTCACTACATCTTCACGTTCTTGGAAGAAAAAAGGTTTTGACTTCACCTTTTCCTTCGGTGTCTTGCTTCTTTCTAACATAAATTTGTGTTATATGAAGCAGACACCGAAGGAAAATATAATGTCTAATCTATCCAAATATCAAAGATCATTATGCGCAGCGACAACCTATGTTCACACATTGGTGCCATGTTTTAAGTTTTTTTCTTTCTTTTGATTTTGTTGGCAATGAATCTGGTTTGTCTTTTCTTTTCATCTCTTATTTTGTTCGTTGATCCATATCATGATTTTAATCATGTCTTCATTAAGTTCCTATTCGTTGCATAATAATTTTGATTTATGGACAAATCTTTTATGTTTTTAAGTCAAGAAAATTGTTGATCATTCTAATTTGATTTTAAATAAGTCAATCTCCATTCATTAATGGTAAGTATTTACGATCAAAGAAAAAATAATTTCAAGATTTATTTTCTTTTTCTTGTATGTAGTATCTCTCATGTTATTCTTTTGTATTTTTTATTATTTTCAAATTTTATTGTTCAAATTCAGACCATTCTAATTAGACATTAAATTACAGTTTTAAAATACTTATTTTTGTATATTTTTACGAAATTTTAAATTATCAATTACTTTCAAATTTTGCGTTTAAACTTTTCTTTTTTATATCTCAAATCTTTAATTATTTCAAATTACTTATAACTTTTTTTATATTAAAAGTTTCTTTTTTATTTAAATCTTATTTAATTATTATTTAAATTAATTTTTTTTTCCATAAAGAACACTTTTAAATATAAGTATTTACAGCCAAAGCAAAAAGAATTTCAAGATTTATTTTCTTTTTCTTGCATGTGGTATCATACATGTTATTCTTTTGTATTTTTATTATTTTCAAACATCACTATTAAAATTCAAACCATTCTAATTCGACTTTAAATTAAAATTTTAAAATACTTATTTTTGTATTTTTTTAAAATAAATTATCAATTACTTTCAAATTTTATGTTTAAACATTTTTTTATCTCAAATCCTAATTTTCTCAAATTACTTGTAATTTTTTATATTAACTTTTTATTTTTTATTTAAGTATTCTTTACTTGTTATTTTAAATTAGTTTTATTTTCATAAGGAACACTGTTAAATAATATAAATATATTTAGTATAAACTACACACAAAGAACGTGTTCGAATTTGATTGGATAAACTTAAATAAATAAATAATATAATTAAAGTGAATTTGACATAAATTACACGGTATATTATCAAATATATTGTTAAAAAGATGTTGTTCTGTAATTGAGTGGGTAAAAAAGTTAAAGAAAAATAAAGACAAAAGTGGTTGTTAAGAAGAGTATTCTCTTTATTATTATTACTTTTTTGATAATCATGATATTGATATGAAATATCTATCATCATAAGTAGCGGTTAATCTTTGTGAGGAATCATAAACACCCACAAGATAAAGATTTTCCTTTTAACATTAGTTTTACGTCATACCTAAGATCAATATTCAAATGCTAAACATTTTAGTTAATTATCATTAATAATAGTTATAGAAATATAGAAGTATAAATATTAAAAAAAACAAATAAATAAATAAATAAAATATATAAGATTAAGTAATAAAATGAGTGGTTAATAATTTGAAGATTTGAATAATTAACTTATTGAGTGGTTAAAATAGAAATAACTTTCAAAATCATTTTTTTATTATTTAAAGATTTAAATATAAAATCATCAAAAATAAAAGTGAAGATAAAAATCGATCATAAACTAATTTATCTCCATCATGCATATAATAAGATATATATAAATTTAAAATTTAAAATTCAATAAAAGAATAGAAGTAATAAAATAAATGGTTAACAATTTAAGAATTTGAATAATTAACCTATTTGAACAATCAAAATAAATGTAACTTTCAATATTAATTTTTATTATTTAAAGATTTGAAGATAATATTTTTTTTTAAATAGAGATAATTTAAAGATAATATTGTTTAAAAAACAGAGATAAAAAAGTTATAAATTCATCAATCCTCTTTATATATAAACATAAATTATGTATAGGTACATATGTTTGAAATTTATACGTATATTAATTATTTCACTCGTAACATAAATTTGTCTTAATTTTAAATAATTTTTTAATCTAATTAATTAACAATCTGAATTATATTTTCTGTAAAAAAAATATTAAAAAAGTAGCTTTGAATGTATGACTATTTCTCTCCTTTATTTCTTTTTACAGAGAATATATTGTTATCTAATTAATTGATTACAATTATTTTATCTATTAATCACTCGACTGTGTGATCAGCCATTTTAATCACTTATTACCTAAGGTCAAATCATATATATTATTGACCCGTATTATTTATCTTATTTTCTCTTTTATCTCACTTTTATTTCCATCATTATCACCCATTACTTTATCATTTTTTTTCCTTTATTAATTTCTTTATTTTCACCTCAATTAATTCTAAATTAAGATGAGTATAATAAAAGAGGAATATCATAATACACCCTATCCGTCACAAATTTAATCCTTTCATTAGAGTAAATATATTCATGTTTATATTTTATAAAATTTAGAGTAAGATGATTACTAAGGTGATAAAAAGAAAAAATACTATATAAATTTTATTGCAAGAATAATATTAAAATTCTTAAAATAATCTTGTACCACCCTAGCATGAGCAACAAGCAAGTACATAAGAACAAGTACACGAGCATAAGAAAAGTTGAGAAGTTGAATCAGATTTTACTTGGAAGTACTAAGAGAAGAAAGGTGGAGCTTGCAGGTGTGGAGCTGCAACTCCAACTGCGTGTTCTTCCTCCTCTCATTCTCCAACTCAGCCCTCAGCCTAGAAATTTCTTGCTCCTCGCTATGATCACCACCAACCACTTGAACTTGATGATGAGTCTCCTCTCCTTGTATCGTGCTCACCAGAAACTTAACTTGCCACAGCTCTTGCTCCAAACTCCCCTTCAACACATTCAGAGTCGCCAACATTCCTTCCCTGTTCACAACATGCTCCCCCGTTTGTTGGACAACCGTTTCCCCTCCAAACCGAACCTCTTTAACCTCATCATTCGGGAACACAGGCTCAAGCTCCAACCCCTCTTCGTTGAAGTTCCACCCACTTATCCTTCTCTGCTTCCCCTGCACGGAAGGGTCATCATCATCACCATCACCATCATTATCACCACCTTTCTCCCCATCTTCATGCACACTACAAACCTTGCTCTCCTTATACCTCTTCTCCACACTGGGCAACCCTTGGAGCACATTCTTCACCAAACACTCAGAGCCCTTGCAGTTCTTAAAGAAGGGGTGTTTGAGCAACTTGTCAGCAGTAGGTCTCTTAGAAGGGTCTTGGTCGAGGCAAGAAGCAACCATGTCCTTGAAAGCCTTGGAGAATTTCTTCCCATTTCCCTTCCTATACTTGTCAAAATCAGAAAAACGAAAGCGTTTTGTGATCTTGAGCATCATGGACTTGGAAGGTGGGAGGTGAGAGAGAGGAGGCCTTCCATGTGCAAGCTCCAAAGCTGTTATCCCAAAGGACCATATATCAGCCTTGAAACTGTACCCCGTGTGGGAATGGATCACCTCAGGAGCCATCCAATAGGGAGTGCCTGCAACATCAGTGAACTTGAGAGAGGAACATGTGGACTCGTAGATGGAAGCAGAGACACCAAAATCTGCAAGCTTGACTTGGCCGTTTGAGTCAACGAGAATGTTGCCAGCTTTTATGTCTCTGTGCAGATGGCCCTGAGCGTGGAGGTAAGAGAGTGCGTTGAGGGAATCTTTGAGAACTACTGCAATGCAGGGTTCGATTAGGCCGTTGGGGAAGGAGTGAGAGATGATGGATTGCAGTGATCCTGCAGCCATGAATGGCATCACCACCCAGAGGCGGCGGTCAACAGTGAAGGAACAGTGTGCTTTGAGAATGTTAGGGTGAGAAAGGAGGGATAGGGTCTTGGCTTCGCGCCGAACATCGTCCAAGTCGAGCCGGGAACGGTCAAGGTCTATGGATTTGATTGCTACGGCGGTGGAGTTCATGGGGATGCACAGTGCTTTGTAGACGACGGCACTCACGCCGGCACCGATCTCGTTGAGTAGCTTGTAGGAGGAAGAGTCCAGGGGGTATTGGACCCTTTTGGCTGCTTCTTCTGCTTCGGTGGTTGCCATGGAAGGAAGGGAGGATGGTGATAGAGTGTGAGCTGGTTGGAGTGATATATAAGTGATGATGAATATAGAGATGGAGGAATTAATATTGGAGAAGAAAGGGTATGGTTTAAAGCGGTTTTCTTGTGAGGGTTGAAGGAAAAGAAAGTGTCGTCGTGATATATCCGTGCATGCATGTGAATCAACACAATGTATAAGGCTGCATGGCCAATCACCTTTTTCTTAGCAAAAAGGAAATTAATTACTGCTTTCTTTTCATGTCCTTCAATCAGTTGGAATCACGTGAATGGGTGGAGGAACTCCTAAAAGCCAGGTATCTTTCCATATATGATACTATTACATGTGATGCGTGATAATGAATTACAATTTTGTTTTTTTTAGTTTTCTTGATAACTCGGATTCAGAGTTATCAAAGAAATAAGTCATGGCATGACATAATATCTAGCCTCTCGGGTCTCAGTTTGCAACAAGTGCTTTGATTGGTCGTAAACAAATTCTTGACTAAAGCAACTATTGAGTTTATAATTTTCACTCCCCATGTGAAGTGCCAATTCTTCAAGGATCGTATAAACTTCTTCCAGACCCAAATGGACTAGATTCCCTGCCGAGAATGTGTAAACTTTCTTTCTCACCTCAATCCAACTTTGACCAGGTATTTTTTTCAGACCTTTTGTCCTTGCCGACACTCTCACTCTTGCAGAATCATCCCATCTTCCATTAGCAGCATAAATATTGGACAGCAGCATGAAGCTCCCAGTTATTTTTGACTTCAGGCTTAGAATTTGTGATGCTGTTTCTTCTACATTGTCTGTGTGTCTGTACATTCTACATGAGTTTAGAAGAGCCCCCCAAACATATTCATTAGGTTCAATTGGCATGTTTCGCACGATATCAGTTGCTTCTTTCAAAAGTCCCGCACGACCAAGGAGATCAACCATGCACGCGTAGTGCTCTACATTAGATTCAATCCTAAACTCTCTGACCATCTTGTCAAAAAGGTTTCGACCAGCGGCAACAAGTCCAGCATGACTGCAAGCAGATAGAATAGCAACGAAAGTGATGTTGTCTGGCTTCATTCCGGCTCTAATCATCTCATCAAAAGTTCTTAAAGCGTTCTCACCAAGCCCATGCATTCCATAACCCCCAATTAATGAGTTCCATGAGATTAAATCTCTACCCTTTATGTTATCAAACACCAAGTGTCCTTCCCTGAAATCCCCACACTTCATATACATGTTTATCAGACCATTGCCCACCAAAATATTGTCAACCATCAAATTCCTAACGGCAAAACCATGGAGCTCCCTGCCAAGGTTCAATGCTGCTAACTCTGCACAAACTGATAAAACGCTGGAAATTGTCACACAATTGGCCATTACTTTTGCAAGCTGCATTTGCCTAAAAAGTTCCAGTGACTTCTCACCATGCCCCTTACAAGCAAAACCACCGATCACTGCACTCCAACTTATGACATTGGGCCTCACAGGGGACTGACCATCTGAACCTGATTTCTCCATCTGTAAAAATGCTGCATAGGCCTCCTCACATAACCCAGATTCAGCATATGACGATATCAAAGCATTCCAACTTACCATATTCTTGTTCTTTATTTCCAAAAACACTTTATGAGCATCCCCCAGATGCCGGTGCTTCCCATAAGTACCTATCAGTGCATTTTTCACAAACAAATAATCTTCATATCCACCTTTAACAACAAAACCATGGATTTCTTTACCCCAGTCGACTTCAGCCATATCAGCACAAACCGATAACACCACAGCCACTGCTTCAGCACTGATTTCAACTCTCCTTTTCCTCATCCTCTTAAACATCTCAAGAGTCTCATCATAAAGCCCACATCTAGCATGGCTCGACAAGAGCGAGGTCCACGTCACAGAGTTCGGCTGCAAACCTTCCAACTCCATCCGCTTAAAAACCCCAGAAGCACCAAGAGAATCACAGTTGAAGGCATAACCCGAAACCATAGTATTCCACGACACGACACTTCTCACAAACATTCCATCAAACAGTTGGCGCGCATCCTCCATTCGCCCAAGCTTCCCATACATCCCCACGAGCTCGTTCACAATATGAAGATGATTCCGAAACCCCATTTGCAGAGCATGACAATGGACAACCCTGCAGAGGTCAGCGCCACCCAGATTCGAGCAAGCGCGAATTATCAACGGAAGAGTGAACCCATCGGGCAAAAATCCAAGCTTTCGCATTTCAACATAAAGTTGAAGCGCGTGTTCGTGGTAAGCGTGAGAGACATTGGCTCTGATAATTGAATTCCACAAAAGAAGATGGTGGAGCCCCTCAATTGGTATTGCATCAAACACTTTCCGAGCGTCGGAGAGAAAGCCAAATCGAGCGTAAACCGCTATGAGCCTGGCGGCCAAGAAGGGTAAACGGTGCGCGGCGGTGAGAACCAATTGGGAGTGAAGTTGGCGAGCTTGTTGGAGAGTGAAGCAACGTTGAAAAAAGGCGTCGAAGGAATCAAGAAAGTCGTCATTGTGGACGCGGCAGATTGAACGAGAGATGAGAAAAAAGGGTTGGAATCGTGAAGAGAGAAAGCGGAAGCGCTCAGAGGCTGCATTGAGCATGAATGAAGCTTTTGAACTCTGTTACTCTCTCACACTACACAGATCAACCACTTTGAAGGCTCAGAGGCTGCATTGAGCATGAATGAAGCTTTTGAACTCTGTTACTCTCTCACACTACACAGATCAACCACTTTGAAGGCGGGGTTTTCACTTTTCAGGGAATAGGAGGTGCTTGTTTGGGTTCTCTCTGGCCCATTTACAAGGCCCAATACACAAGTCTCACTGTAGATTCATTTATTTAATAAATGAGTTAAAATATTATCATATTATTGTTTCGATATTTCATGATGGTGCAGAATAGTTTCCATTCCTTTATTTGGAATGACAATGATATCAGCAATGAGTTTATTTCATTCCATATTTTAGGAATTAGGATGGATGGCTTCGAAACACCTAAAGCATTAGTGTTCTTTTAGACCTAAAGCCTTTTCTCTTGCTCTAGATTAAAATGCCTCATTCCTCTTAAATTTCCCACCAAAAAAATTTAAAAGCTTTTTCTCCAATCATGGATAATCCATAAGTTAGTAACAAAGCATTTGGTTGGAAGAGCAGTACAGTTATTGCCTTTTAGTACGACGAGAATACAGTTTGTCGATTTTATACCACCTGTACGACGAGATTTGTAAATTGGATCATTCATCCATTTCCGTTTCTTTTGGCAGGGTTGTAAATGTTTACTATCATCCAATATTAGATGAGATTCTCATATTAGGTAGATAAGGCTGTCTTTATATTCAATAAGAAGTTTCCGTTAACTAAATACTAAAAATGCGATAATCTAATTTTTATTTGTGAACTCTCATTATATTTTATCTAAGTTAAAACAGTCTCCTGCTAGTTAAGAATATTCTTTAAAAAAAATGAGTTCTTGATATTTTACTTAGAACCTCTTTGAGTTTTTGATATTTTAATTAGAGCATTCAATATCAAAAAATATGAAATAAAACAATTTTACTTTTGTTGAAATGTGAAATAAAATAGAAGAGATAGATAATTACATCTTTGCACTTTGTGTACATGCTAATTTTAAAGAATTTTGTAAAGTTAGTGGCGCGGAAGGAAAAGGGCACCTGAATGGGAAGGTGGTCCCGTTTGGAATTAGGTAGGAAGACGATGAAGAGGTCAATAATTGAAGCCCGATAAAGAGGGAAAGAGTGGATGTAGC